ATCGAAGGGGAATAGTCGGACCCATCAGGCTTGGTAACCAGAATTACATCGTTGCCGCACCGTACTTACGCAGCGAAATGCGCTACGGTGCATATAAAATGTGCAACTGTCCACGAAGACCATTTTCTGAATGGAATTTTGGGGTGCGTTTCATGGCCTATTCGATATCTATACGCGACGTGACCTCCAGTTGCGCTTTCTTCTTGAGTATTTCTCACAGTCCTTTTCAGAACCTCACAAACTCACGGAGGAAACTTGCTCCACTGTGCTTCTGCAAACATATACTAGTGGTGCTCAGTAAATGACGTTCCTTTGAAAGAAAAATAGTCCTATCAGCTGACCACTTCCGCAAAGTCCAGCTCTGGGAGATGTCCTGCCGGTGCACATTTAAACTAAGAATATTGTGCTTATTGACCTTGCCGTTTATGGAGAAAAGAGTTTCATCGCCGATAATGAGATTTTTTAAGGTCATGTCACACCTTCACAATTTATTCAGCGTATGCCGACGTATGAAAAAGTTGGTGAATACGCTAGCATACGCTGAACTATCGATTTTTTTTTCAATTTTGGGCATATACATAGCGTATTCATAAAGAGTTGGACATAACTTACATAACTTATTAGTAGCCGAACTTACATAGAACGTTTCGATAACTTACATAGACACACGTTCAGTAAGTTCTGTCCGGAACACGTACGTCCATATACGTCAATATGCGTTGGAGATAAGTTCGATAAAAGTTACACATAGGTTCAAACACGTTACGCATAGGTTAGAAATAAGTTTTGGGTACGCCAGACATTATCTCGACGTGTTTCGACTTACGCGTAACTTACAAGTAGGCCTCATGTGTGTGGACGAGTGTCAACGATCCCATAGCTTACGTAGTGTGACGGATGACGGATGTCCATGCAAGATCAACTTGACATGAATATGTGAACTGTTGAACACGGTTTAATCTGTGCACAAAATGTACAGAATTTGAGACCCTCAAAAGTTATAAATCAACAGCATGAATTAACAACAGCAATTTGTTTATCTAATTAAATTTAAGCAATCATAACTGATCACGGAATAACAAGCAATTAACTGGGTCAATGATAATAACCTTGTGTGTAGTTGTACATATACATGATGCCCAATTACATGCAATAAAACCCTATAACTTGATGTGCTCACAGCTATGACTTTGTAAATTGTCTCTTCTGTTGAGTGTATTTTCTACCGCAGAATAAATGCTTAAACCTATCCCAAATACCCAAATCCCATAAGAACCAAATAAAAGAAATTTAAATATTGCATTCAATGAATTCCACTTACAGCTTTGGGATGACGTATGCAGTGAAATTAAAAATATGGCGACTCTTTAAGTGTGAGCCGAAGATAACATGTCATTGAGCAGCGCCTTCTGTTGACGAATACAACAAACAAATTAATATTGTAACGTCGCCACCTTTGTGAGTCTCGTCACACGTTAAAAAAGGTCACAAACGCTTGTAATCTTGTCCAGTGGCTTCTGGCCTTTATTATACCTCAAAACCGGTGAACACACACGGAGTTTTTATGCAAAGTCGAAGCAAATCTGGATTTCCCCTTACAATAGCAATGGACCTAATCACATTAAAAACATGTCAATCAGAACTGGCGCGAAACTGCGGTGATGGAAAACCCCCAAAAGGCTATTGCGCCGGCGCCGCAAGGGCTGGCCCAAAGCCAACAGGCAGGGACCGGCACAGCCCTATGGAACCACACCAGCGCCCCCACCGGCCTGTTGGCGCCGTCGCTATGTAACACCTACAACTTATGGCCTGCGTATGCGGGACGTATGAGCCGTACGCACAATTTTATACATGCAGCAAATTATTGGACGACCTCGCCATACTATTTTGATATTAGTCACCAGGCTACTATGTGTACAGGCACATAAGAAGAAAAAAGAACTGAATGAAAAGAACTATACTGAAATGATACAAAGGCGAGGAAATTGCATTTATCTTCTTTGCACAATTAATTATTTCTAAGGAAATTCCCAAACTTCTCAACTTCCCAATCAATCAAGCAAACGTCTCGGTTATTGTTTATTGACACATGAAATTTTATTTCAGATTTTATCATAAAACGTTTACATAGTTGAGTCAGTTTATATGAGGTTCATACAATGTAATTTTAATCTTGAGTCAGTTTATAAGAGGTTCATACAATGTAATTTTAATCATTCCTTGCAATGCACATTGTATACGATATATTATCATTTTAATATGAATAAAAATTACGATTAACACCGCCAAAACTGACAATCAGGTTACAAACCACAACAACTAAACAGAAATACTGTAGCTGTATTATCGAAGAAATACGTCTTCCAAGCTACTTCAAATTCAAATATCGAAGAAAGGGAACGAATATTGAAAGGAAGTTCATTTCAAAGACAAGCATCTCTATTAGCAAAAGGATCAATCTCCTCAGGAATTGTGAGTGTGGGGAACGACAAACAAGGCATCGCAAGTGCCAAGATGGATTGTACAGGGTTAATAAACTATTGAACGGCACATTGAGCAGTAAGAGCAGTTTGGCCATTTTAAGAGCATTTTGTTACCTTTTATGCTTTTTATGCCTATTTACCTTTTTACGAGCAAAAGTGAAAAGTAACTACAGGAAAAAATAATTAAAACTACTTCAGCACCAAAACTCGCAAAACTCTCAAAGTTTTGCTATTCTTTCGTGATTAAGAAAGATGCAAACATATTTTTAAGAGGAGAAAAAAAGTGCAAAAAAAGTTCCCGATTTAAATTCATGTCATAGACCTTTTGAGTATGAAGTTCAAAAACTGTATCCTGCACATCTTAATTCAATTTTCTGCGTTTGTGCCTAAAAAGCTTTAGAAACGTCTAAAACTGAAGTCAGTTGTCGGTGCCAATGTTATCACATCATTAGTTGGTGTGGTTTTAGTTCTGAAAGGCAACCAAAAAGGGCATTTATTCAACAAATGGTTAATTAACAGGTAATTTATTTCGAAACAGGAGTTATCAGACAGTTTTCTTCATGTCATTTACTGAATAAAATTGGAAAATAAATCAGTGGGGAATGCTATCCTGCCCCCAAATTGGTGTGAAATTAAATTAGCTGGGAATTACTTTGGCTGAACAAAAGGTTTGGAAGTTGGTATTTTTAACCAATGGTGTGGAAGATGTAGTGAAAAGAGACAAATTAAACCTGTTATTACTGCGACAATTTAGTTGCTACTTTTCCCTCTGATATTTCTCCAATAGCAAGCCAGATTTGTCGACCTCTCCATGTTTGTTCGATACTAGTCTCAGCCCGGCACTGAATTTGGATGATATTCCCTTATTGGTGATAGCAATTAATTTCTTCCCATACAGACCTTCAAAATGCACCTTTTATACTAATGAGTATATCTATATTCATGAGCAAAACTGTGGCGTCATCCCAGGAAGAAAGCCACAATGTTTTCTTGGTTTGTACACAAATTGTCCTTCATTTTTGCGGATTTCGCTGGACTAAATTGTCTCTTCTTGTCCGAATCCTTACTGTTTATGAGTATATCAGTCGGCAAGCATCTGTCCCATTCTTAGAAACACTTTCAGTAAGAAAATCCTGGGTTCACAATTTGAACAGAAAAACCTATGAACTGATTAATGATTATAATCATGTCTTCGCAGGATGGCATCACAGCTACAGCACCCTCGGTTGTCCAGGAAAGCATGGAATATTAAGTGTTGAAAAAGTGCGTTTTCAATGCATTTAACCAAATAGGAATGTAAGAGATTTTATACATTAAAGAAGAGTACATAGTTGCAGAAAAAAAATATGTCTGAGAAAAATTCAAACAGCAACACTTTAACGTGAATGTTATCTAGCCGTGACGTCAATAGAGGGCGCTATTGAGAAACTAGACCCATAGCTGTATACACGAGTCCCGCGCACTAATTCAAGCCCCATTGAAAACAGTGCAAATTCAGCACTCTTCAGGGGGGGAAATGCATACCAACATTCCTGAGTTTTCTGAAACACAAATTAAATTATTATCTGGTTCCTAATCTTTCAATTCCCTTTCATTTTTGGTGACTTAACCAATTACATTAACCAATTACATTTTAATTATTCCCACAAACCAAAATCGACCCCAAAAAGTGATTTTTCAAAAGTCTACTTGCAGCCGTATGTCAAGTGGCGACCCTTAACTTTCTCAGGCACTTAAAACCATTTTTCAAGCGTATATTCTTAGCTATTCTGCCTTCAGGTGAAAGCCCAAAGACCTGGGGAGTTGATTCTGGCAAAGATTTACACAACCTCAACATTTTGGGGGCCAAACAATCTCCTTTTTCAAAAGATACTGTGGGGGTACTTTTATTGCGATGAGCTGGTCAGAAATTCTCACTTATATCAGTAGACTGCACCTATACCATACACGCTAAAAGAGATCAGTCAAATTCGACTAGAATTCAGTAAAATTTGACTAGCTCCTCAGGGTCAGCTGGGTGCAACTGGAAATTAGTCAATCTGACTAGACTGTTTTAGTCAGTTCATTGATATTTCAAAGGCATCGAATAGGAATCTCGCCAGAAAGCATGATATGCCAACGTTAGCGTGGGTGTTTGACTGAATCCGTAGTCAATTTTGAACAACTCAAAACCAGTCAACATTTTGACTAGGTTGTTTTAAGAGTGAGTCATTTGCTTAAACTTAACACGTACAACAGAGATCTCTATGAGAGCCCAACCCTTAGCTCAACCTCGCCACAGCCTTGAAATAGTGCTCAATAAAGGTTAGCAATATACAACACATGAACATTTTGTTGGTAATGTTGTCTTATCAAGGGGAAAAATCCATGAAATTGGCCCTGACCACTCACAAACACAACGTTCAAACTCACAAACACGACGTCTGAACTCACACACACGACGTTTGCAATTCACAAACGACGTTGGAACTCACAAACACGACGTTCAATCTCACACACGACGTTTGCCTGTGCGCTTCAGAATACCATACTAACCGGGTTGGCATAGAGGAGCCGGTTTGGAGAACCCTTGGTGTCTGACACTACGTCACTAGTGGCACTGCTAAGCAAGGCATCCTTGAGGGACTGGGGCGTAGCGTTCTTATCTTTACCCATTAGAAGAGCGAGAACACCTGTAATAATATAACAAACAAAATGCAAAATGTGTGAGGTTGAACATCATTTGAAATAATTTATTATTAACTGTTTATTAACACAATCAAACCAAAACTATAGTAGCGTGCACGCAACTCCCGTAAACAGACTAGCTGATTGTTTATCACAACCGAACCAACTACGACTACTCACCGCTGGTGTGAGGGCACGCCATTGAGGTCCCAGACATCGTTGTGGTGCCGGAGTTACTTGATGTGCTGTATTCAGCACTGACAATACTTACACCAGGAGCAAAGAGGTCAACACATTTACCATAGTTTGAAAAGTAGGCGCGTTTATCATTTTTATTCGTGGCCCCGGTGGCTATCACCTGGAATATAATAATTGATAATCGTTAAACAGATTGAGTCCAAAACGTTAACAGAAGTTCTTATTTCGTTCAAAAAGTATCCCGATCAGGCTTTCTAAATTTTCTTTACATATCGGAAAGGAATGACTTTGGCACCCTGGATATTTGGCAGAAGTTTTACCCGTACTGTGCTGTAAAAAACAAAGGCACGTTTTTACTGACTATTTTTGTGAAATTTGATTTTATGAAACTCACATCCTAAGATTGGACCCTTCCTTACTGATAATAAAGACCCTTATTGTTTTATATAGGGGATGTATGAGTTTTCATAGATGAAATTTCACTAGATTCTGATGACCTGCTAAAATTGCCTAAATATGGCAAAACTTTGGCAGCCTACTTGGAGACTCTAAAACCTCTTCAAAGAAACAATTGAATGTGTTATCTTGGTGATAACATATTCAATTGTTTCTTTGAAGAGGTTTTAGAGTCTCCATGTAGGCTGCCAAAGTTTTGCCATATTTAGGCAACTTTATCACCAATTTGCTAAGGACTATGAAAGAAAAACGATCAGCTTTTTACGTTTCGAACGCGCAACACAGAAATGCCAGTTAAAGGTTTGGGCAAGTTCTTAACAGTACATGCATGCATGCGTGTTCTGCTTTAGTTTAGCGTCTTGCCAGAGACCTTGAGGTTGTCAAAGGGAGCAAACCTGTAGGTCAGGTTGAGTTAGTTTGTTTTCTATCTAATGACTTGTAGACGATAGGCCCGGTGACAACTGTACTGTGATTTGAAGTTTACTCGCTCAGGCCTTCTACCAATGAGAAGTCCTGTCCAATACATTTTTAGTTTCTGATCTTGCCTTGGGTTGAATGTCTGTGTAAATCTGCTTACTAATATGCTGTTAGTTTGGAATGAGTTGATGCGTAGCTCGCAAGCGGCTCGTAATTTTTGTCCTTGCAGCGCGTGCAGTGCTCGTGGTGGCCACCATTGACCCTTTTGCTCTATGTGTGTGCTTACTCCTTGTGTATAGCTCCATGTTTTTACTAATTTGTAACACTAATTTTGGCGAGATGGCGAAAACGATCAGAATAGAACATCTTATTCGATGAAAACAAACCAGACCTGACTTCAGAAGACCAGGGACGCAATTTTGTGACCCCATACCAGAAACAAAGCAATAACCAGGAACATGTTAAGGATGGCCCACAAAAAACGAAGAACCGTAAACGGTTACGTCACCTGACAGAGGCAAGATCAAGGCAGCGGCTAAAATTGTTGATGACCATCATTTTCACTCAACATTCGGTGTGTTTCTAACCAGTGCTGCTCTCTCTTTTCACGCACGTTATAGAAGAAAGAATCTCTTTGATTCGCTTCAACAATACATTTTGAAATGAATAATTCATTCATTTGAGGGACGAAAAAATTGTCCGTTTACAGGTATTTTTCGCCATTTTGAACCGGCGCTGAGCCAACTCCAACCTTTGGTGCTCTTTCGTTCGGAAAAATGGCGTCACAGCGTCACAAAACATGTTCGTGGTTCGGGTCGCCAAAACAACGCCCCAGATTATGGTATACCGGACTGCATACAAAACAAAACAAATAAACAAAACACAAGAAATAAATACGCATGAACAAATTTTGGGCTAAAAGAGGTCACTCACTTCTTTCATCTTTTGCGGAGTGTAATAGCAGGCGAATGTGTTTGCGTTTCCAGCTGCGTGTGAAATCACAAACCCGTTATCCCACATTTTTTTCATTGCGTCGGTTAACGATGGTGAAGAGAATGACAACCCACTCAGAGATCTGGAGATGACGCCTCCATTCTTGCCGGCGTGTGTCAGTACTTTATTTAGACCTGAAAGAGACGGAAACAGTCGAAAGGTGCTGTACAAACTGGTGGAGTGAAACACACTTTGGAACAGTCACTTCTTCAGATGAATTTGTCGAATGGGCAGTGTTGTGTCCCAACAACGACCCAATATGGCTTCTTACCGGATGACCCCTCCTCATCCCCATCCCACTCAAAGTGGATTTCTCTGTCTTGCTTATTAAGTTTTTGTTTTGTTTTAGTTTGATTTAATTTTTTGGTGGCTTTGTATAGGTGCTGTTAAAGATATGTGCTTGCTAATAATAGCGATGCCCAAAAGAGGAACAATCCAGCAGAAAATGGGCAACTAATTTTTAGCCTGATGAGCGCAAACCGAAAAGCTCGAACGTCACTGGCAGTTCTTTTGCACTAAAAGTAGTTCCTGCAGATGAAATGACTTGATTCTCGAACATCATAATGCACAGTAAACATGGCGAAAATAAGTGAAATTTTGACTCTAGTCCTACGAATTAGACTTTCGTGGTCGTATTGCATTGTCTCAATACGCAAAACAACCAGGGAACCGTTTTATGGGAAGTTTATAAGAGAAAAATGTAAATCCGATTGATACGGGGCGGTCCCATGCTTACTGCTTATGAATGGATAGCAAGTGAATCAGTATCAGAGACAGTGAAGGTACGTAAAACTCACCATCCAGTGTATCAATCAGAGCGCATTTACCACTGTAGCATATTTTCACACTATGTATTAGAGCTTTGCGAGCGATCCCATACGTATTGCCAACTGCCGTTCCGGCACAGTGAGTACCATGCCCACTGTCATCGCCTCTTCCGAACAACAGTGAGGCTCTACCTCCAAAGACATTGTGAGAAGTCTGAATTCCGCTATCCAACAAATAGACATTCACTCCTTCCCCTTGAACTGTTTGAAATCAATAATAACAAAAATTGTATTGCGTTAGTCTCATCTTAACAGCCATCACACCTAAAAAAAATTCAATGAAAAGCACAGTTATTTACGAGCAACTTCGGGGATACGTGTATTTCGTTAACTTTAGTAAACTTGACTCCGAATAAAACATTTTTGAGATTAAAAAATGCCTCTAAAGTATAGATATGGCAAGAGAGGCAATGGTTGTAAAGCACTTTGTCCCGTTCTAAACTGTATATAAAACTTCGTGTCTAGATTGCAATAATTTGTTTCTGCTTACAGCTTGTGGCAAAGAAACACAAGTTAAAGAAAATGTGTAAAAGCAAATGAGCCAATCATTTAGTCGACTAGAAAACGACTAGGGTCTGTGTTTAAATGCATTAACAATGTGTTTAAAGACATGATATCCATAAGTACCGTTGCTATTGTAGTTATAATATCCATCAATTCCCTTTCGACTGTCAATTCGATCGATGCCCCATGTGGGGTTGTCCTGGTAAGCAGCAGGTGTTTCAATGCTATCTTGCTCAATGTATTCAATACCATCGACGGCTCGAATCTTAACAACAATCAAATGAAAATGGTAGCGACATCAGCATTATGCTCAGTACAAATGCAAAAGTAGATGACGGCAGGTTGGGGAATAATAAAGCTCTCTGTTACCAATAAAGATATTACTTATCACCCTCAAAATTTACAAAATAAGTCCCTTTTATTAGATTTTAATTTAAGGCACATGTCAACCACGTGAACACTTTTTACGTCATTGATCACTGTTTAAAAGGCTTGTGTGAAATCCAAGTCGTTTTAACCCTACAAGAGCCGGGGTCGAAATCCACCCCCCCCGCGACTTAAAATTTACCCCGATGTCACCGCAGTGGGAGTTATAAGGGTAACTCTTTGCAGTCATTTTGACACTATTTTTGTGAAAATTGGACATACTTTTCTTGCGCTAAAATAACCCAGCTCTTTCAGGGTTTCTTAACCTACACTACAAAAACTGCGGTGTTAAAATCAACACTTTTTAAGTGGTGTTTTCAGATGGCCACACCATAGTGTGCTACTTAAACACCACTGGTGTTACTTTGCACACCCATAAGTGTTACAATTCACTGGAAGGTGTTAAAAGTGTTACCAGTCCCTGATTTCCTGATTAAATGTATTTTATGCTAAAATGTGCTATGATATATGTGTTTGTTTTATTTGAACAATGTACATCAAATTCTCTCATAATTACATCAGAATTGAGCCCCCCCCACTTTTTTAGGTATACTTGTGACTTTTGGAAGATAGAGGGGGCTCTTCGTCTTGTCTTATCGACATGCCATTAAAAGTCATTGAGCAAAGTTATTGTGAAACAAAAGGGTCCAAAGAAAATCTTCCTGTTTTATCTCACAGGTATGTAATTTCTACTTTCTATTATCAAATATGGGATCTTCATATATTCAAGTTCATTTAGAGCCTATTATTTGTTTTGAAGGTTATCTGATATTTAAGGATTGAAATGGATTATAAGGGAAGTGAAAGTTGTTTCTCAGACCATGTGATAAGCACATTGTATGTATTGCAAATAGACATAGGATGATAAATGAGCACATTCTTCGAGTGACATATTAAAGATATTTCCTAGACTATACAGGGATAAATTTAGCAGTTCTATTCATTTAAGATCATTGTTTCTCTCTGATTTTGGCTGATTAGAAATGATAACGCACATGCAGGCCTACAGGATTTGCAAACTGATGGACGATTATTTGGATGGATTTTAATGTAAATGTGTAGAGTTTAGAGTATGGAAACAATCTGGAAAATTCAGACAAATAAACTGAATACACACATGTACTTAGAGGTTGATGCAGAATGCTGAAGATAAGTTCACCGTTTCCACAGAAGAAAGTGACTCATGAGAATTTATAATGATAGAAGGTGCTTGTGCATTGTTAGTTTTCTTGAATTACAAGGACTGCTTATTTTAAATGTATGTATATGTCCAAGTTAACGTGTGGACTGGACATATGAGATGGAAGGTTAAGAGTTTTACATGAAAATTGGTTTATTGTAGTTTCCTATCATTTGACCAGTTATTGACAGATAAAGATCAAGTCAAAGACTCAAGTGCAGTGAGGAAATTCTGTACTCGTACTCACAGTCATGACCAAGTACATAATTTTGTATTTTAAGAACAGACACAGGATACATTTACTTTTAGGTTATTCGAGGACTAAAGTACAAGTGATGCTACTGTGTTTGGTCGTGAAGGACATTTGCTGCACACATAAATTAATTGTACCCTTTTCATGATATTCCAATTATTGTTATTTATCTTGATTGACATGCCATTAAAAGTCATTGAGCAAAGTTATTGTGAAACAAAAGGGTCCAAAGAAAATCTTCCCTTTTCATCTCACAGCTCCGAACCTGGTAACAAAAGTAACACAAAATAACACCAAAATATTAACACCATTGAAAAGTGTCAGTGTTGTCCTCTGATAACCGGGAGTGTTAAATGTACATGTTTTTGCAGTGTATACGCTATAGAACTTCAAAGAATGCTGAAACGAATACGCATTTATTCAATCCTAGATAGACAAGCCTACTAACTTACTTCCTCTAAAAGATGGGCAGGGATATGAAGAAAAAGACAAGGGAGAACTTGGCGGATTTTTTTCACCCTGGGCGTTGGCAGGCGCATCTTGTGGAATTTATTTTCGATTTCAGAAGATACTTCATCTAGACGGTCAGCATCCTGAAAACATGGGGAATTATTAGAAGTTTATGGACTCTTTTCTCCTCACTGTATTTGCAAGGTACAGGTAAGTCTATAAGCTAAGGAGACTTCACAAAATAATCTCGCTACCATCTTTTGCAAAATGGGTAGTGAGCTTTGTACACTGAGACTTTAAGTCATCTTTCGAAAGGCAAACCGAATTTAGTATGTCCTGGACTAGACCTCGTCTCCATCTCCATTGCGACTTCACATCAGACTGGAGACTGAACCTAAAAGAATAGTATCAATTTTGGCCTATACATATATATTTGGTGGTTTACGGCAAAGCATGGCATTAATGAATAAACAGGGACATCTCGGGAAGACCCAATTGCAGACGAAGTTGACCTTGAAAACCCAGCTTCCCATCTCAGTTACGAGTATTCAGATTAGCTCTGCATGATATGCACGAAGACAACTGCGCACACATGTTGTATGAGCTCCAATGCCCAGCCTTTTTCAGGTCAGATACAGGCGCGTGCCTTGTTTAATCATGACCCGGCTGTGCATTTGCTTCCAGTTTTCAGTTCTTTGGCGACCCTACTATAGACTTACAGAGAATGAATATAAATTGTTTTTCTAAATAAAAAAACGAGTTCGCTGTTCTTGCCTTGATTTTTACTATCCAGCGATCGGGTAAGGAGCGTTGTTGGCTCGATGTGATGAGTGGGGCGAGGTCTGCATTGACCAACGCTACACAGATGCTCAGCAAAAGAAACTTCATGACTGTAGAGGGTTATCTCCGAAGAAGTCAACCTGGTGGGCAACGAATTTGAGGTAACAAGGAGGCTTGAAGACGCATGCTTGTTTTAAGGGTATTTATTTCATTTTACTTGTGAATTGATGAAAATATCCTTTTACCCCAAAGAAATCCCCGTTGTCTGATTGGTTCGTAGCTGATCAGGCGTAATTGATTTATTCGTTCTAACACACGTCTCCTCCCTAAAATAAAAGTTCTGCTATACGGTATAAGAGTAGCTCTCTCTGTAGATGGAGGGTCTTTTTTCCGTAAATGGAAGCTCCACGGCACGTACCAGAAATATCTGAACTTGTAGTTGGTGCAGAGGTTTATTCAGAAGTTTATACATGAATCAAACTAATCGACCTTTTGCATTCATAAACCGACAGATGGAATGTTCGTGTTATCTCATTAATTTATTCCTAAACATTAATTTTTGGTATCATGTCACAAGAGACGGCAATATCAGAAACAGTTATGTGTATAGTCAAGTCACCCAAGGACGGATCCAGGCGCAGGCCAACAGGATCGTCTTCCCCTGAACAATGAGCCAGAATTATTCTTTAAAAAAGGAAAGAAGTGTTTTGCCCCCAACAAGGCTTCGTGGTTCTGGGTCAGTCTGTGAAACCAGCCAAGAAGAGCACATGTACAGTACCTTAAAACACCTACCTTAAATTATAATAACGTACCTTGTCTCTATGCACACATAACATAGGGATGCATGACGTCAGAAGTTATGTCAGACTTAAGACCTTCATGAAAGACATGGAATCTGCATAGAACGTAGGCCTAACAGTCAACATACCTGTTAATAACATAGGAGTCAACTTACCTGCGAAGATGTTGGAGGTTCCAATGAATTGTGTGAGACTCTGTCTAATTTTGCCTTTTAGATATTTTTAGTACCTACTTGTGGCCAATGTAACCGTTATCAAGGCCGTGAGATTCATCATATGGGCTGATACCAGTCCTGATGTACAGTCGTCCCGCAAAGTTGATAGCGATAATGCGCAGCGCCCGAGGAACACTGTTCAGACCATTTTTACTTGCCCGGCAATGAAAATTTGAAAAGTGGTGGAGTGACACTATATGAATCTATTTAGAAGTTACTGTTCCCAGTGTTGATGTACATCTATAATATGTATTACATTCATGCAAAATCTTACATCATAATGCCATACTTATGGCTTTTTAATTTCCCTTTTTTAATAATAATGAATGCATTTCATTCATTGGAAAGTCCGAAAAATCCTTCACAATCCACATCAATTTTTTGCTCACCACAGTGAGTAAGAGGATGATTCAATAGCACATAAAATTGTCCAAACGCCAGTCAGCAACAAACAAATTTAAGGTAGCATCATGAGGACACTAGATATAGTGCGTGGTGATGTAGTTCGACTCTATGCGATGTGTTGAAGGACTACAATATACACGTTTATAAAAAGATTAATGAAAAAATGATCAGGTTTATTAGTGCCCTTATATATGTGACCATGCTCAAACTGCCTCAATTCAACTTAACTTGTATACCAAATAACACGCATTTTCGAAACAAGTCAATTCAGCTCTGTAAAATAAACAATTATTTATGGTGCCAACTACATGAAGATGAGGTCAGCTCAATGCCAGGACGCAGCAAATCCCCTGTGAAATTACTATAGAGTAGCTTGAAGATTATACTGAAAAATAGGGCATCAAAGCGTTGTTTCCTGTTGTTTGCCTGTTTGTTGATATATGATTAGCATGTGTTGCGTTGCCTTTGCTTCCCATCGAGGCAGATAACTTATTTCAACAAGAGGAAAACACACCTTGTTCCTTTAGCTTTAACACATGGTTCGGGTGCAAATAATTCCTCACGGTTCAGGCTTCCAACTGAACGGCTGAGTATACCATCACATGAGGAGTTCAAGTGTTTTTAATAAAGAATTTGATTTAAAATCAGCTGCTCTCCAAAAAAATCACCTTTTCATCCATGCGCAGCATAATTTATTCAATTTCATCAGTTTTTATAAAGTCAATCGTAATCACAGCATGCATTTTAACAGAAGAGTTCCACACCTAAATATACAGGGTGTCTTTCAAAAAAGGAAACCGAGATCAATTTGTTTGTTTGTTGTTGAAATTAATTATTTTTCTAAATGGTAACCGTCATTTGTTTCATTATAACGTTCTCTTTCGTATGACATCAAGAAATCAAAATTTCGGTCAAGGATGACTGAGCATGAAATCATGAAGTGCCTTAATAGACCAAGTCAGAAATGGCTTCGCACCACTAAGGTGTTTTGGTGTTGAACTCCTACTGTCCAGAGACGGTTTTTTTGTCAGAATGACAAAATGTTTGCTAAAATATCCAAAAATCATGTGACCTATATAAAACGCTGAGAACAAATGCAGAAGTTTGCGTTTAAAGAAACTGAGAGCATGTTGACGGGCACTCGGGTTTGGCTGCAGCAACAATAAGCCTCAAACTGTGGTTGCCTTGGGATTAATGATTTTGGAAGTGTACTCAAACGTGATGCATCTGGTGCAAAGCCATTTCTGACAGAGTCCATTAAACCACTTTGTGCTCAGTCATATGTGACGGAAATGTGGGTTTCTTGGTGTCCCACCAAAGAGGACATCACACTGAAACATATTGTATTTACCAATTAGGCCTAGACCGTTTTCCAATACTCAACTTCGTCTCCGTTTCAGGCTTCGTGTAGGAAACCAATCCTCGATTGTGGGCCTGAAGCGTTTAACTTAAATTGAAGTACTGTAATGTTTAGCTCTTTTGCATCTTACTTGATGTTCTGTTGCACTATCAGACTTACTTTTGCGCTTACAACCTGAGAGTCAGGAAGTAAAAACAGTTGAAGCCTGAGACGGAGCCATAGTCGAGTATTGGAAAACAGCCATACAAAATTAATTAGTCATATTCAAGAAACAGATTAATTAATCTCGGTTTCCTTTTTAAAGACACCCACGGTGGAGGTTGAAATTGAGCGAGTTTAAAATCTATAATTATATAGGCTAGACCATTTTGAAAGTGGTGATATGGAGGAAATAGATACAAAAAAACCACATGAGCCCCCTGTCAACCTCCTTGGTTTACAATTTTTTTGTGTTTGAAAAACAGAGATACAATGTTCACTTATATCTTGAACTATTAGTTTCGATATAGCAGTAAATCAAATTCCCTTGAGGTGCAATCGGGGAGGGGAGCTTGAGCATCATGGGCTTATATTTTGTGGTTTTTTGTGGGGGGGGGCGGGAATTTCCGTCCAAGTCAGCTTTTACCCAAACAACTAATCCTGGGTGTGCCACTGCCCTTGAATATCAATACGCTTCCACGGGAGGGCTGGGCAGAAAATTATGCTCGACGGGATTGTGTCATAAATTGTGTACTTAACATTACCACATTAACTGAAAACCAACAGAAGCAGTTCCAAAACAATCCAAACAACATTCAGTGATACCACGGTCGTAGATGAATTTTTGTCGGTCGCAAAGTGATGAAGTGATACGCCACAAGTTCGCATGCATCAATTACGATCAAATGCATTGGCACTGTTGTCGTGCCACAAACGGTGTTGCTATACCACGGTCATCGACAGTGAATTTTAATTGGTCGCGAATTGATCACGTGATGTACTACAAGCGCGCATGTATCTTTCAAGCGTCAAGCGCACTGACGAAGTTGCCGGGGCCAAAAAGATGGATAACGGTGATCTTTCTGTCTGCTACGTTGTAAATGTGTAATCTTGGATACGAGGGTGGATGATGGTGGTGTTCGCTTGTCGCCCAGCGCCCGAACAGGGCGCTTGGAAGGGATGATTGCCTTGCACATATTCTAGTGAAGGAAATACGTCACACGGGGTCACAGCTAATGACGCACAGAGCATTGAGAGTACATTTCTGCCAGACGCACGAGCTTGCTCAATGTCATGAATGCGGCGGTTATCAATTCGAAAGTTATGCTTTTTCTGCCTCACTGCTGAAAATATTCTCACTACACTTTGTTGGTTCATTTTAATTTTTCTGGCAATGAATTATGCATACATTACAAACAAGATCGTTCCAGTGTAATCTATGACCATGGTATAACAAAGCAATGTTGGAATTTAATATGGAATGGATAAAAGTGATGGCTCTATCCCATTCAGAGACGCTCGCTCTTATAGATTGATTCCAAACGAATCAACTTTGGGTGCTTTAGAAAAAACACGTTTATTATTTCCTGTTTAATTTTTTTCAATTCGTCATAGTGTTTGAATTTATCCTGCAATAAAATATGCACGCATGACTTATACAAGACTGTTCCGGTGTAATGTATGACAACGGTATGACAAACATTATTGTTGCCTGCTGTAGCGGGGTACACGGGATTTGTACACCCTCGGGGTTAAATCGCCTTTTTGGCAAATGCATCAGCAAATTTGTATCAGCAAGTTCAGTTACTTGCTGTAAATTGATTGTGGCATTTTGTGTGTGATTTGGGGATGAAACTAATACGTGCATCATATTTAAGTATTTGTACTGGACCATAATGCCGAACGTTACAACACGTCCCTCTTCCCATACTCTTCCCATTTGACAACGCATCCGGGTTAGGGTGAATCGTGGAAGGAGTCAACGAGGGCCAGCCCCCCCCCCAAGCAAAATATGTTAATATGAAAAAAATATGAGAAATGCATTTTAGGCTCTTTCTGATTTCATTTTCTTTGAAACGCATGTTAACAGCACCAACATGAAGCCTCGACCCTCAGAAAGGTTAAAAGCTTATACCAAATTTTCAAATTTCCCCCGAAATGATTCCCCTGTCACCCCAACCTCTTAAGAGGTTCTCTGCTGACAATTTTAAAGGGATCGAACACGCCAGATACTATTGACCTCTGACAAATAAAAACACAATTGAAACTATCTTGAATTCTGAAAATATATTCCACCAAAACCATTACTATTGTCATTAATTATTCACAACTAGTCAACGATTGATTATTAAAACCTCCACGCGACTGTCACGTAATGAAAGTAATTGCAAGTTTTCAGAATACTTTTAAAAGTCGCCTATACCGAATTAGCAATTTACGAGTTAAAATTTGGCCTGGTCAAATGCACCTGAAATTTCAAATTTATCAACACAATTTGTGTTGATAAATTTTCAGTTTCAATCAATCAATTCATATCACATATAAGGTTCAGGAATTCTTACTCGCCTTCCCTTCCGCGGTTTCTTGTTATCACACTTCTCTGAAACTGATTCTTAATTTTTAATTCACTGAAATCTTTCAGTTTACCTTTCAATGTAATACATGTACTCCTTCGTTTCTTTCAAATTACCGAAAACTTTTAAACTTTCAAAACAATATACCCTTCTTGTTTATCATCTTCTCCTATTAACTTCTCTCGATTTTCTGTTAATCTTAAATTCGTAACATCTCCTTGTAATATCGACTTCTCAGAATCTGAATCTTTTCTTTATTCTATTTTAATCTCTAAAGTCTCAACATCTTCGTTAAATTCTGTTCAGTTAATATTCAAAATTCTCTTCCAACCTCTTGAATTCTGAGTTTCTCTTATCAACTCTCAAATTCCTTCATTAACTTCTAAATTCCTTAACAAATCCAATTTCATTAAACACACTCCTTATTCAACAATTCTCAGATATCCTTCGATTTTTTTAAAACTATGAGCACATTCATATAAATGAATTACAGCCTTAAAACTCGTTCAATTTTCCAAATTCCTTTTCAATCTTCAAATGTAAAAGACTGCTTGTCACATTTTTGATATTCTGTACAATTATTTTACTTGGCATGCAGTCGAAAATTCACTAGCAAAAGGACACTGACCAAATTCTACATCACACCAAAATCCTTCAGAACTTAACAAACATCCATATTGTTTTTATACATTTATAATGATGTGCTGTCGCCAGTTTCAATTCTTCAAGCGTCTTGAACAGCTACAAAAAAGGACCCTCAGACTTCCACATTAAAGATGCCGGTCCACCTTTGTGTTGTGTTGAAGTTCTCCCTCATCAGTAGCTGAGAACTCCCAAAACTTGTGCCGTAGTCAGCATCTTCAGAAAATGTCTTGAGGAAATTCTAGGCATGCAAAATACCAACAAAATCTGCAGTTGTTGCCTGTTAAGGCTTCGGGCCAACAGGATACTTCGACGTGGACCGCAGGCAACTTGGTCCTCTCTCAACGAGGTCTGGCGAATAACTGCCAGTAGTATTTAGGCACAGCCCAAAACAGGCCACACCAACACTCCACCAGTCACTCTTATTGCTACACCATGGTACATGATTGTAACAAAGACACCCTAAAATACCTCAGTAGTACTGAGTATTACTGAATATTCATAATTGAACTTACATCCAAAACTGAATCTACACATTGCACAATGACTAAAAGAAAAACCAAACTGAATTCAAAATTAGAAACATGATGAAACAATTAGTCACTTATGGCATTCCCCCCCCCCCCGATATTTTGGTTCTGGATCCGTCCCTGGCTTGGGTAGGTCTTATAAACGTCCCAGTAAGACTGCTTAAGGCCACTCACAGCAAATAGTGAAAAAACGATGATGAGAATCATACCAGAAAGGCGTGTGTAAAATATCTATAATTACCAATTGCTTGTGCGTCTGTGTCCCATTTATGTAAGGCAAAGGTTGCGTTACGCTCCACCTAAGGTCCTTTAAGGTCATCCATTCCTATGGACGTTTTTGGAACCCATTAAGGAAATGGTGTCTTAGAAATACATTCATCCAAATCTACCAGTTTAAAGCCCGAAGTTTCAACCAGGTAGTCCATCATGAACACGGAGTTCATGTAAGTATCTGATAAGTCGGTGTCCAGGCTGAGCACTCCCCCTTTGTTCTTGACGAGGACATTGTGGATCAGACGAAGGGCTTTGGGGACACGATCTACATCACGGTAGCGATGGTAGTTGTCAAACGTCAGTTCCTCCGGGGATCCTTAATGGCAGACAAAGCTATGTAGTAAATACTAGACCACTTTATATGTTGAGAAAGAGTGAGCGGGAAGTTGTCTTTATCCTGTCAAGAGACAGTTCTCTTACAGATAAACTTGAAGGACAGGGAATTTTTATTCAGCATAGGGTCATGGTTAAAAATAAAAATCACGAAAAAAAGAAATGAGTTATACATGTAATGTAACTTTTGTTATTTGTAGATAACCAATGCATGCGTGCACCAAAACACTTGCCTATGCAAATGGTTAGGGAAAGTGATACGTTATTGTAGCAGTAAAATATTTTCGTCAATAGGGCAAACGTCTCACCTATTCTTTTTATCCAACCACTACCGAGCTTCAGCATTGAAGAGCATCTACCAGTGGCGTATCGGGGAGAGGGGCAGGGGGCAACCACTGCCCCCCCCCCCTCCCAATATTTTTTACAATTTATACCAAAACCCTAAGAAACCAACACCATGAAAAAAGCAAGGAGGCCCTGAGTAATTAAGGATATTGATAATTCTACTCCCCAACATTATGTTGAATGAGCCCGAAGCCGCACTCGCTTTTGAATTTGCCCCCCCCCCGCACACACACGCACTCACAAGCTGGATAGGCCGCTGACACCTACTCGGATTGTGTGGCCGATTCATCGTGCGAATCTAAATGTGACACTAGCGTAAAATTCGTTGTGCTACTGATTGTATTTTGTGACTCAGATTTTTCCAGTGTAATATTTGTATTTTTGATGGGGACCAGTCTAGGCACATATAATCACTGTTCGCATTATGATATTTTTAGGCTTAGGCTTAAAAACCATGAAGGGCCTCGATATCCAGCACATTTATCTCGCCATTCCCGATGACCTTCCTGATATAAAGTGATATTTAAGCTCTGACTATCAACTTGGGCAAGTTTGAATGAGATAATTAGCAATCGCGATACCAATATATTTATTGTTCCACGCTTAATGTCTTCATTGTACAGCGCATTTGAACATATCTATATGAAATTTGCGCTTTATAAATGAATAAATTGTTATTATTATTGTTATTATTATTATTGTTACCAGTATAAGGGGACAAAAGCTACCTTTTAATCCTGGTAGTCGCGCTACAGGTTGCACAATCCTTAGTCCCCTTGTGGCTGCCTGTCTAATCATCTTCAGGTTTATATCTTCCACCGTTGGCAGGTAATAAGACGACACCATGCCAATCTCCTCAAGACGTAAGATGGCACTTATCAGCTCCAGTCGGATCCACTCTGAGCGCATCAGCTCCAGGTGACCAGGGGGCAGAGGTCCGTCCTCCCGGATCCCGATGTTGAAGTGCTCGGCCCAGGACTTCACAGCTTCGGGGTACAGCTGAGCAAAGTCTCCGAAGACGAACAACGTGGTAGGGACTCGGGGCTTGTGGGCAGCGAGAGTTGAAACCACCGCGTGTGCTCGCTTGTAATTCATTCCCACAGCAACGACCACGGCTACTGAGCCGCTTGCACAACGCGAGTAAATCTTGCCAGCCCCACCAGGAGTGTTAAACGGAACCTGCACAACAGAAGAATTACCAACTTAAATTAAGGAATAAATTCCGACCGGGAATGTATACGTTTACTGGAGCTGCATTAGTTGGATTACTATCGTGATGACGCAAAATTCGTATTTGTCCATTCCTATGTGTACGTTCCATCTCCATGCATGTTTATGCATTCATGGTATAAGTACAATCAGTATACATGTACCTCGAGAACAAAGTAAGATATTGCATCCCTGTCGGTTGGTTTCTGTGCCTTTAATATCTGACAAGAGGCTACACTTCACACAGTGAAAACACATACTAACCTTGACAGGGTTCAAATCTTCGATATCGCCAAATGATCTCCTCTCACCCGCCCAGGATATCATATTCATCCCAAGTTTTTGAATATCCTCGCGGATCTTATCCTTCTCCTCCTGGGCCCAGCCAGACGGTTGATAGTCGTGATATTCGCCGTAGTATCTGTCCAGAAAGACAAAAGTAAATTGTGCCGATAATTGGCAGATGAGCCTGGTTGATTAATTGGGAGAAGTTCAGCGTAGATGGGGCTGAAGGTACTCGACGACGAAGGTTGCACTTTGTGTAGGGTCAAGGCAAAGGTTCATTTCGATATATTCCGCTCGTGGTAAAGCTTGTTGGTTGACACCTATATTTCCATGGCCAATGCACGGGAAACTGCACAGTTTTCAGGGTGAGAGTTGGGGTTTGTACAGGCCTCCTATTTCGTAAATGGACCCAAGGGAGATAGCCGAAAAAGACTAACATGTCCCAACTTCGCGAAAAATCTGCATCTATCTTTAGTCAGTCGAAATATTAATGTTTATTTTAACATGGCTGTCTATCTGATTATGGAGGACTTTTCCTGCGATCAGTGCGACTGTACTAGAACTAGCCCTAAAACCTGCAGACGGTCTCTCTTTCAGATGTATTTATACAGGCTCGTTTCGAAGTGTGAAAACACACTGCTGACATGTTCGGGGTTTAGTCACATGAACTATCGAATATCTAAGACTATTTGTAACAAGAACCTTTTACCAACAATTTCTTTATAGCATTTGGAATCTATTCACAAGTACTTCTTTCAACCAGGAAAAAAATAGTGAGCACGAGGGTTTTGGGTTCATACATATATGAGAATCTCTGCAACGACATTACGGGCATATGGGCACGTACAAATTTAGTTGAAAAACGGTTGTGCTTATCATTACGGGAAGGCACGCAATTTTTCCTCACACAGGCACTAGTGAGCATAAGCTACACATCGTCTCTGTTATTTCTGAAAAGAATGCATGGAAGCTTTTACATTGCCGCATATAAATGGAGAAAGTCTTTGAACGGGGGCCGGTACGAAGGGGTCTGCCGTCTTTCCTTGCCATCACTCAGGGGTACTTGTGCACGGAAGCCACAGATTTACTATCCGAGGATGTGACGTTTCTGTACATGTATATATGTACTTGATGAACCTCCTGCTTTTAGTGTATCTGTGGATCAGGTTGACTCCGATGGGTAATAACACACATCTGTGGGGAATGGTTACAGCCACTATTTAATAACATCCATGCACACGAGTTATTTCAAGGCGAAGTAAAGTAGGCACAGCCTAACTTACTTATCAATGTATTCTTCAAAGACATTGCTGTCTATCATATTCCGCAGGATGTCGTATTCAGCGCCTTCGACGTCCAGCTTGAAGATGATGTAATCCTCAGGAGAGAATGTCTCCGCAATCCATTTGGAAAGATCAATGACTGGAATTGTTTTCCGGACGGATAGTTTTCGGCTTCCACCTGTTGCCGTCAGAACAAATTTAACGAATTACAAGTGCTTTGCAGTGAATTAGATGCAACATCCATTAACACGAATCAATATTACAAATTTATACATTACACTTGTATAGGATTTTTTTAAACCTTTGGAACACGTATATGTTCATGCCCCTCACTTAGATTGTGCGCATGCGTACTGAATCCCACTATAGCCAGAAGCCAGTAAAATGGCTTTTGACTCGGACGGGTGGACCACAAAAGTAGGCCTAATCGATCAACATCAAGCTCAGAAAATGCTGTTTGCCCCTTATTTCCATACCGATTAGTATTTAAACACTCAAAGTCCCTTTCCCAAAATCCGGACATCTCATTATTGACCGCTGGCATACTTGTGCGGAAATTTGAATCCACATGAAAAACGAACTACATTTCAGACAAATGGCTCTCGATCTTGAAAAAAATTAACTGATACCAAAAAAAATCAGTCTTCCAGGCAGTATCACCGATGATCTGAGGGGAATTCGACAAAAATGTGAAAAGTGTGTACTAAGTAAGGTGAAAAACACGAAAAATGACGAAAATGGGTCCCAATGAGAAACGAAGTGAATTTGAAAACACGGTGTTCTTCCTGGAAGTAATAACCTTTTTTGTAAATAAGAGTTACTGGTATTTCATGTGGCATCAAAATTATTTGAAGGTAAACTCGGCAAATTGTGAAAAATAGACATACAGCTAGTTAAAAAACGAAAATTTTTCAGAATTATAATTTGTCGAAAAATTGACATTTTCCACTTTCTTTAATTTTTTCCAGCGATTTTTTCCCCAGAAGCTATTAAATATCACCATTTGATAGACTCTTGGCAATTTATTCACACACGAGGTCTTCAAGGGAAATGGCAGTACAATCCCCCATATCGGTCATCACTGATATACGTCGTCTGCTAGAATAATTTTTTTAGGCCGACCTTATTTCACTTTTGCGCATGCGCGAATCCACAAACTAAATGCATGCACAGTCTATGGGGACCGAACATACGTGGGAAATATATCTACACCTTTAGGTATATAATAGAAACAGACAGTGAGGATTGGGGACGGGAACGATTCTATTCTAATATGTCAAAAGCGTTTCACTCAAAATGACCTTTCCCAAACGCAAAGTTAAAGTAAACATCCTAGTTTGTATCCATTATGTGTGTACATATTTTCAAAAAAATATTTGCAAACCTTATACTGCGCCCATTGCTTTAGGAAAGAAAAAATAACAGATGTCAAACGTGCACAAGTATTTATGCAAAGTAAATACAGCTTAGTTAACGAATGCCGGCTGTTTTTCCTACCTGTATTGTTAGCACGCCCAATTACTTCCCCAGCTTTATTCGCCCAAGCACGACTGTGTTTAATTTGATACGTGACTTGGGCACAACTCACAAGTAACTGACCGGATCGACGCAGCGAGCTTCCGGAACCCTCGCTCTGTCATTAGGCCGTCCTATCACGTTCGACAATTTTTTAGAAGAATAATTCCCAACTGAAACCTCCCAAAGAAACACTTGATTTTTTCCTTTGTCTTCCTTAAGTAATATTTAGGAAAAGTTATCTGGAGATGATAACTTTTGGTAAAAAAACAGAATTTTATTAACGACCGATATCGTACCTAGGTCTCCTTGTTCATGCATGTTTGTTTTCACCTCCCGTGCTTCCGTGAAAAACAAATTGTACAACGTTGCAAAGAATTAATACTTACAGTCGATGGTTTCCAGATTCCGTTGAGTTGATATTACGCAGTTGTTGTCAACAAAATTTAAATAAAATATTAAAATCTTTCGTAAAAGTAGAATGTTGCTTTAAATTCATGACCTTATAAATTATAAAAGTGTGTGAAATATTTTAATATGTTTTTATTTCGGCTTTTACCTACAGATTACGATAAAATTTCAAACCGTAAATGTTCATCTGCGTACGAGACTGCCTCATTGCGCTGTTCTTCATGTATTTTAGGTGTTCGGAAGTGATGGGTCAATTCTTGCCAGGATATTGTTGCGTGTCCTGCTTATTGGTCTCTGACGCTGTCAACAATCACTCCAGTTTAACACAAATCGCCGTTCCGGGCAAGAATGCTCTGTTTATTCTCCAAACGTCAAAACAAAGCTGTTTACGCACACAAGCTCCAGACACGTGATGTCTGCGGGGACTGCGCAGGCACGAGGCGGGAAAACCGCAGGCCGTCCGCATACCAGCGGGGGCATCCATCTAGCTCCATGCGAGTCCGAGCTGGCGCTCCTACCGACCGAATCCGCCGGGGCTACAATATGTCTCTTTTAGGTCAGGTAATTTTTCAGTTTCTGTACATTGATATACTAGCAAACATTTTCCAAAGGCCCTTTTCCGAGTTGGGTTTTAAGAAGTAACTGAACGAAAAAAATATCACAAATTCTAAAATCTTTGCACGTTATTTTCTTTTCCAAGGGTTCCGGAAGCGCGCCATCAGGGGTCAACTTTCAGGCTCTGTTGTGAGAAGTTTGCCACAATGAGAGTAGACGTCGCGGCTTAATTGAAAGACGCATGTGAAGGAATATATTGATGAATGTATTAGGGAAATTGTCTCAAGTAAAGCAAGCTCTGTGAAGTAAAAGGCTGGACGTCTGTGTGCTGCTGCTGTTAGTTCGCATTTGTGTTGAAACATAAATGTTTATTCCGCTCGCGCAAGATTTCACAACAGCATAGCAAGAGGTGCATGTCTCATTTCGTGCGCTTTGATCGTAAAATACGGTGTCGTATTTGTTGACCAATTTTAGGGAATGAAAGCAAACCATGGAATTTTTATGACAGATCCAAAATTAAAAATCGCAAAATTAATGAAGCATATCGAATGTTAAGATAACATTGCTAATTGTCCATGGGTCATAGCTCAAATCTGCCTCGGAGCTGTTCGTGGATCGAGAGAGCTGCAACACAAGTGTCTCAGGTCCAGTTTGTTTCTCACGGATGTGAATCTCGATCAGCGATCCTAACGCTGGTTCGCACCATCCATTATGCGGTGTATGGTATCCGTAAACCAATGATGGATCGCTGATCATGATCTGGATCCGTGTAAAACAAACATGACCTCAATTGTTGGAACCAAAATGGTGGAAATGGACGATTAGCACACATACCTGCATGCTGTACGGCACACATAAAGAGAGCCATTTTAGTCCAAAGTCTGAAGTTGGCGCTACTCTCTATATATACATTTCTGAGGCAGATGTTTCGGTTTCACAAACTTTTACAGTTTGTATGATATTTATAACTAGCCCTTGGCCTATGTATGCACCTGTTTTGTTATTTTTCCGTTCTGATCCGAACGCGTATAGTGTGCCACCTCCCCACTGCATATCGGCGCCTGCATTCAGACCTTTGCTTGGTCCCCATACCATCTCAGAATATGCCGTCATGTTACCTGAAAAGAAATCAAAAGAGAATACAGAACGATTTTTCCAGCTTCCTGCCACATGCATCGTCTTAAGGTGGGGATTTCCATAGGAGTCTACGCCATTTCCAAACCACAGTCCCAACTTGAGAACACGGGCTAATCTTTCTCTCTCTCCAGCAGTCCATAACCAGTTCATGACGTCACAGCCAGAACACAGTCTCAGCACATGCATGATATAACTGCAAATACAATGTTTATTGCTTCATTGAGCTTTTGCACGCTTTCAGAATATTAAAAGGCCCTGACAAGAAGGGAAAAGCAAAAACAAAACAAACCCAAAACCAATAATGAACATTGCCATTTACCACCATAACGTTAAAAATGATGGACAAAATAACTTCTAACCGTCTTTGCCTGCCACGCCAACTGGACAGTGCAGATGGTGTTTATCGTATGGCTCGAAATAGGGTGACAATCGTTCATCAATTTCGAACGAGTGGATGGTGAAATCTCTTGCCCCGGGATACGTCTCGCGAAAAAGTTGAACAGTGGATGCAACATTAGCACCACAGTCAAGAAAGATTTTCCTTGGTTTTGGAGGGAGCGTCCTGATATCATCCTTGTCTTTTTTCCGAAGCTGTGGTATATGGTTGATTTTTGAATCAGCATCGGCTCTACTGCAAGCAAATGAAAATATCTATATGAGCAAATTACAGAGTAGACGGCAGAATAGGCAAAAAGGAACGATTTCAAAAGCTGGGAATGGGTCGCTGGACACCATCACTTGCGGCATTATCGTGCCGCACTATTCACCAGTTGGAGGTTCTGACATCCTCGATCTCTTGGTTTTTATGCAGTCCCGCTGCCATTAAACTGCTCTCAGATACAGTATTGCAATTTTTAGATTATTGTAGCTAACTGTGCTATAGCTAGGTTGTGGGAAAGGATTTATTGTAAATAACTTTATTTACTGGTTATTGTATCAAAGGAACTAAATCGAAGCACCATTTGAAATATATTGAATAGTAGACATATTCAAGTGAAGTATTTTCAAAGCTTCAAACTGACAATGCCATGTCCATGAATACGGTAAAAAAAATAAATAATAATCAAATTTGTCTAGGACAACTCTTTTCCTAAAGATTAAAGACATTTTATAAGGTGTTGGAATCGGAATAAGACCGACAGCTTATTCTTCCGACACTGTAAAAATTTCGGCAATTTGAGAGTTGTTTAAAGTTAGAGTTCTTCAACGTAATCATCTTTAGTCAAGCAAGTATTCATTAATTTAATTTTTTTGTTTCATCCCGACATCTGTGCACAGAGAGGCAAGTTATTTAGAGCTGTACGTGGAGTTGGAACTTTGTTACCTAACACTTGTTACTGTCCTGTATCTACTACTTAGAGGTGGGCCTTTCAATGTCTTCTTTTTTGCCCGAGTCGTACGTAGCCAAAGTAAACTCACCCATGCATTCTAGCATCAGCTTGGGCTATATATTTTGTCTGCACATGTTCCACTGTTTCTGTTAGCTGATGGCCACTCCAACGTCCAAAACTCAATCCCGAGTTGCCTATGAACAGGGATGGGAGCAGGCCGAGCACAAAGCCCATGACCAAGCCTAAAAGAGCCGATCGAATTGAAAGTCGCATATTGCTGTATGCGAAGAGGCAAACGACAACAAATAATTATGTCATTAACAGGTTGCAGAATAAACACCGCAGTTGATATCACACTCGGCATTCGAAGCGATGGGCTTGATATCTTAAGCATTCCTAGTTTTAACCACATGAAAATAAGTTGGGCGTAAACTCTGAATAAATCTCCAACTATTACAGCCCTCGTCGATTCCTTTTCTGATGACCAGCCGTTTGCTTGGTTCCCAGACAGAACGACACTTCATCAGGAAAGGCCATCTTCAAATATAATCTGCTCCTTTGACGTCACAATCGTATTTTTTTTACAAGTGGCTTCTAACACTGTAGTTATATATAGTTAGT